CTCGTTGGTAGCCCCAAGGCATTACCGACCCGCTGTGTGCACGTCCCCAACATGTCGCTACCCGGTCGTTGGGTGGGAATTAGGAGAGCTCCAACCCCATCATTCTTTTTCTGTATAGAAACGTACCCCCTCTATTTCCTATTCTTAATGTAATCCATGCTAAAGTTGAGAATTCTCTTGGATTTTTCTATCGATACTTTTTTTTTGTTTTAAAAACATTGCCGTTACTTTAGGACAACATTATCCTGTGTTGTAAGGACGTTTTACAAACATAAATTTCACACGGACAAACACTAGATGCGAAACAACTATCTGTGGGTCACACAAATAGTTGTCCCGTGTGGGAATCGAACCCACGACCCCCGGTGCCGAAGCCGATACCTTGGCGACTGCGCCACAGAGTCATCTAACTTTATTCAAGCATCCATTACGAACGAAGAGTTTCGGTTTCAGTAAAGATTGTTTAATTCAAAGATTTATTTACTGATTCGAAAAAGTTGGAAGAAAAAGTTCATAGTTCACAGGTGAATAGTTCTTGAGAAGTTGTCAAATAATGGCTCGGTGGCGTAGTTACTGAGCTATTGGCGCTGGGAGTTGTGGGTTCGCGGGAGGGTTCACGTCAGGCCGGCGATTGGTTGTAAACCTTAGCTAACACCGCTAACAACATAACTCATATGCTGTGCCCATCTCGGTGGGATGAGGGAAGGATGATGGCTGTGTTCATACATCATAATCTTTTGTTAGATCAATTAAAAGTACGTTCTTCATTAGCTTTTTTTCGCATGTCGTTAGAATCGTTATATGGTACATAGAATTATAAACTTTATTTTATCGTATACTGGCTACGCGCCCCGACTTGGCACGGGTGCAATGCTGAATGTTTGCTTTCGAGATCGCATTAGAAACCTTTACAAACATCATTTTTTCTCTACTATACTATGCATGAATTATTAACATCATATAAACCTACCTCTTGAATCACTCTATCCATTAAAGAAAACCATATCAAAATCCGTTGCGTAGTTTTACAGATCTAAGCATACATATGGACAGACAGACGGGGCGACTTTGTTTTATACTGTGTATTGATAGAATTATTAATTTCAAAACGCGCCAAAAGAAGTATAACTTCAAAAATGTTTTTAAGTAACTATGGATCTTTAGTATTATACTCGTAAAATAACTTGATTCCTATTAGAGCCAATCGAATAATTACAACCTCCTTCCGATTAGCGCGCCCATTGTATATTTTTGCACCCGGGCCGTCCGCGTAGGCAGTCGGCCTACTTTCGTATTGCATAGCAGATGCAACTCTTTTGTGTCGTTGAGTGGCTTTTACCTGCACCGGATAGCGCATCCGATTGTAAAAATATTCATTTCTTGTGTATCGTTCAAACGAAATCTGCTAGGTTTGTGCAACTTAAGAATACGAGTACGGTGCTGACGGCCAAAAATATCCAAAGTATAAGAACAGAATACACTGAACAGATATTATCTTAAGTACGATAAAAGCGAAAATGAAATATGATGATTATTCGAAAAAATAAATAAATTTCAGTAGTCGAATAATTTGTAAATTTTAACCATTTAGTACTATTTAGAGTTTAAGATTTATTTATTTACATTTAGAGATTAAGATTAGTACTATTTATTTTTTACTATTTAAGACGCGATTGGCATATTGGATGGCGAACCTGTCTTTGTCACTAAAAAGGGTGTTCGATCCCCGCAGTAGTGGATAGCGAACCTGTTACTGGCACCAGAGTGTGCGGGTTTGATTCCCGCTACTGGAAAAAAATGAGTATTTGTTTAGGTTTTTATATATAGGTTTTATTTGGCGTAGTCGTGAATAAATTAATGTAATATTTTAAAAATAACTAGGCAGTCGCTGATGATTGAAAATCCCTACATATGTATAATAATTTACTTAAAAAGTCTTAAATTAAATACGTTTAATGTCATTTTAGGTAATTAAACTAGCACTATTTTGTAGTAATCTCGTTTATAGGAAAAATGTAATTATTTTCTGTCCACGAACATGAGCTTATAGTCGGGCTTATTAAATTTCGTAGCGCACATGCTACTTTGCTACGACGCTACGAGACCTACAGTTATTACAAGTATAGGCCGGGCGTAGGCTGTCGGGCCCAAAAGGCGAATATCATGGCTTGCAGAAAACCGGCGCTTGCTATGTACAAGAAATTATAGTTCCGATTTAGAACATCAATAAATACTAATAAGCCTCAAATCCATATGGTACGGATGCTCAGGACTTTCGGGATCACTTATTACTATTCTATACGTTTTTTTCATTATATACCTTTTCCCCCCGTATTTTCTAAAATATTATTATATGGTTTACATTGTTTCTTATATTTTTCTTATCACTATCTTTAATTTCTATGACGCTAGTTTGTACGTTAGACGTTAGCTATAGATAACAACATTAATAAATGTCCATGGATGAAGGAGAAAAAAAAGTGATTTACTTTTTATAATGTGCAAAGCTGTCAAGCGATCAGGCAGTTGACCCAATGTTAACTAATAACCGCCGCCGTGGACATCTACAACTCCCGAAGTATAGCAGATGCGTTGCTCCAGCCACCCGGAGCCTACTTTCTTACTTTCCTTTCCTACTTTCTCCCTCAACAGGCGAACCACTAAAATATATTCCTCCATTTCACGCTTGTCTTCTGTCAGTCCGAGGTACTTCCCGGGACGAGGCTGCCCTTTCGTGCAACAGACGAAATTGCTTCGTGGCTCTACCACGATGGTCCGAATCTTATCATCAAAGTCAATATTTTTAAATATTTATTTATTATTAATGCACGTCAAAACTACCATCTCACTAAACTAGACCTATCAAGAGAAGAACTGGCAAGAAACTCTGCGGTCTTGTTATCTTACTTTTTTAACTATTCAAGTTTACAAATTTATGTGCTTGTAAGTGCGGAACAAGAGTCATTCCACACATAAGATGATCTCTTACTAAACTCTTCTCAAGTCATGTGAACCGCCGTCTTAATCAATTCAAACGTAGAATTTTCCCGCAATTAAGCGGCAGCCCACACACTGCTTAGCGTTCAGGTGAGGTGCCAAGTTCTGCGCTGTAAAAATCCATTAGGCGGCTAATTTGTTCGGAACCGGCTTGTTCGTGCCAAGTTGGACTTCGTCGTTTGAATATCAAAACGCAACACGTTCCCGTTATCTCAAATACACATTTGATTCGGCCCATTTTAAATATTGAAAGAAGGAATAAGGATTTGGGATTATAATCGGTACGTTTCTAAAAAATAATTACTAAAAACTTTATCCTCCGTGCAATTGATAGCGGTTTCGTTAATAACATGGAATTGTAGGCAAGCTTTTTTTCTTTCTTTCTTTCTTAAATGTTGTAAAGTCGTTATTGTTTACCACGGTAATACTGTGAAGTTGGTCAGTTTGCAACCAATTTCATCGTATCGCTCTTTATCTGTCGGTGTGAGATCACATAGTGGAAATTTTACTCTCATAATTTTTCCAAACTTTATCGCGTAAATAAGCTTTATCATATTTTGACCTTTAAAAAATAGACGCAATAATGATTCCTTGGCTGGACACGAATATCACACATCCTTGGTCCTTACTTATATTGTAAACGCGAAAATTTGTTCATATGGATGGATGTTTGTTACTCTTTCACGCCAAAACTGCTGAATAGATTTTAATTAAACTTTACAATAATACAGCTTATACGTCAGAATAACACATAGGCTATAATTTATAAAGATATTGTGTGAATTGTCCAAAATATAGGTAATGATAAGTGTCAACTAAGTGGGAAGAAATTCAGCCATCTGCGAGATATTCTCGTATAAAAGAAACAACTCATTGTTAATTTCCTTTGGCGTCCGGGCAAGGCCGCGGTTAACATCTAGTTCTTAATAAAACTATTTTACGCATTATATGGTGTTTCATTTGATGTTAACTATATTTAATATAAAAAAAATTTAAAACTTAAAACAGTTTTATTGAGACAAAGGAAATTAATGTTTTTGTCGTTTTACCAAGCTTTGTTTTCTAGTCCTAATCACGAACGCTATATATTTTAACTCAGTACCCTCTCAATTGAGAGGGTAAATAAGTTCTTTTGCAATGAACACGTTTTTACTTTGTGGATGAAATTACACGTAAAAGTTTCTTTCAACGCGTTAAATACGTAATCGGCAACAGTCTATCGAATCTCCCTTAAAGCCCTAAATCTCGCGTTGATCCGTTACGCGAAAGATACTTTGGTTTCTTAACCCCGGCTGATGATTGATATTGCATTTAGTAGTATTTCTTTTAGATTTGAACATGTATGATGATTTGCTGCGTCAAAGACATTTCTATATATTTGAGATCTTTATAGTACACGCAATGAAACACATTTATGAAATTATCGTTTCATTCCAATACGAAAACGAAGATCAATGTAGATATGTATAAACTATTTATAAACGTTGTATTATTATTTCTTTTTTTGTAAATTAAGACATATTAAGAAGGTTCTGTGTGTAATCGGAGAGAAGTAAAATATTTTATTCTGTAGCAGTCTTTTTTCTGTAGTAGGGCGCTGCAGAAACTCCTATGGCACGGGCAGGCTCGTCTGGGGAAGTATTTGTAGATGTCCTTGAGCGGTGGTAATCATTATTTAATAAGGTGGCAAGCGAAGATTTACCTGATGTTAAATGATAACCGCAGCCAATCGACACACTCGTAGTGAGTGCCTCCTTTTAATAAAGTAGGCCCTGGCTAACTCAATCACCAGAAAAATCATTATAACATTTCAACTTCTGCGATGCCGTGGACCTTACCTGCCCATTCCTGCAACAGCGAAGACCGTTGCCCTAACGTAGTTATTTCATCGTTTTTTAAGCAGTACTTTCCTTTTGTTTCAGGATATCGAGAGATGAAACGTAGAAGGTGTAGCGGTCCGTCAGGCGTCGCATGGTGACGTGTCCGGTGTGGAACTAGCCGCCATGGCCTCGGGTGACGTCACCACGATGCGCCGCGTCCTCTTCTGCCTGCTCTCCCTCTCGCTCAACAGGAACCTCGCGTTCGTCCTGGACAAGCAGAACCCCTACTCGCAGTTCCGCAAGTGGAACGCCGCCCCGAACGGCACACTCGAGCTCGAGTTCAAAACGGACCAGCCCAACGGTCTACTTCTGTATACGGACGACGGCGGCACATACGACTTTTTCGAGTTGAAACTGGTGAACGGCGCGCTCCGGCTCAGGTATAATCTCGGCGGTGGCGCCCAGATCATAACGGTGGGCAGCAACCTGAACGATGGGCACTGGCATAAAGTGCAGGTGAGATTGTACTCAAGCTAACTTCGGTTTACATACTTCCTTAGTGATGACTCCGTGGCTCAGTTGCCAAGGTACTGGCTTCTGCGCCATGGGTCGTGGGTTCGAATTGCAAACGGGACAACCATTTGGGCGACCCACAGATAACTGTTTCGGATCTTGTTAATGTGGAAATTATGTATGTAAAGCTTCCTTACAACACACTATAATGTTATCCTACGGTAAGAGCAATGATTTGGAGGGAAGAATACAATATATCTTTTAGGTAGCAATGGTCGGAACGGTCGTTGGGATTTTTTGCCCAAGCCCTCCACACAAAATACAGATTAAAAATTCTTGTTACGTCTTAAACCTGTGTTAACAGCTTGTTTCGTGACGTCACATGACATGATCGACATGTCTTCAAACAAAAACTTAGACAACATCCTTATATTCTTCTACCAAGTAATAAAAGTTTAACGGAAAACAAATTAATTGTACCCAATATTCCTGAAAAATGATTATCTATCTAGTATAAACTCCAATGTGGTCAGTGCCAGAACGATATTAAATAACATTCAAAATTCTTTTAAAGAACAAATTATATGACTCCGTGGTGCATTTGCCAAGGTATTGGCTTCGGTTTCGGGGATCGTGGTTTCGTTTCTTATAATATTCATCATTATTTTGTCTAATTTCGATATTTGACTTACATAGGATAAAACCCCAATCCGGTAAGTCTTATCGCCGAGGCCTTTGATACACATCCGGATATTCACACCGTGCATGTGTTGACTTACAAATAATGGCTTTGGGTGTGGTTATTTGTGAGGTTTCAATATTTATTTTAACACAAACTTACTGCTATAGTTACTATGGTGTTTTTTTTAGATAGATTCTAATAAAGTTAACATCACTTCATATGTCTTACATACAAAAAGTCTGTAAGGAAAATACACTTCCAATGTTGTATATAAAATTCTTTGCCAATGAAAGATTGCCATATTATCTTAGTGGTAATAACTATCAAACCGTACAACTTGAGGTTTCTGAGTTTGAAGAACTATTGCACTATATTGGAGATCCTACAGCGCTGCATCATCATCATCAGCCACAAGATGTTTACTGTTGAACAAAGGACCCTTAGAACACCACAACCACGTGTTAATGATTGTCAAGCTCAAAATGTAACGTTTGCGAGGATGAATGGTCATTGCTGCAGGTTGCCCGGCGTGACGAGCACACCTCGTTGGCTGTGGACGGTATAGCGCAGAGCAAAATCTCACGGGGCAAAGAGTTTGCCTTCGGCAAGTTCAACACCAACTCCGACGTGTTCGTTGGGGGGATACCGCCGTCGTGAGTACTTTTATACTTTTCAATCACTGTATATGTACAGCGTGTCTTTACCATCGCGACAATAAATGAACGCAAATATAGAGGATAAATTTTTAAAATTGTATTAAACATTTACATTCTTTAAACATCAATATTTACCGAGTTATCAAATTTTTCAAAACAAAGAATTTTAGAACACCCTTACGTATAAAACTGTAACGTAAAGTTCATTTGTAAAGGTCACAAAGCATATGAATGGGTTGAATGAATTTAAAAGAGACAAAACATACTGTTAGAAGGAGAGGCTTGTAATGCGACGCTGTGGCGCGAGTATGACGTCCTATACATGTTACAAATTTTGTTTCTTTCTTTCTTAATTAGTTTGTTTGAAAAATGTAATTTTTTAGTTATGAATTTAGTTTAACGTTAATATTTTTTTATGATTATTGGCATGTAGCGTTAGACGTGTGTTCGTTTATTGTCGCGATGGTAACGACACGCTTTATAATATATATAAAACGAAGTCTGTCTGTCCCTATGTATGCTTAGATCTTTAAAACTACGCAACGGATCTTGATGCGGTTTTTTTAATAGATTCAAGAGGAAGGTTTATATGTATAATACATCGCACCCGTGTGAAGCCGGGGCGGGTCGCTAGTAGCACGATATACCAAACTTGATCTCGTGGTTTAGCTCGCTACGGATTTTTATTGTGTAAGGAAAATAAGGTTTTCAATGAACCGTGGTCACGCAACAGTCTTCGCCGTTTCGCGAATGGGCAGGCCATTCGGGTAAGTACCACGGCCGAGCAGAAGAGCGGCGTGAAATGGAAGCGCTGTACTTCTGCGTTTCGTTAGTAACTGTTAGTAGAGTAGTTGCGAGTGAGTTAACTGGAGCCCACTCTTCTCAGAAAAAAAATCTTCCTTTCAGGGTCAATGTATTTTTATTTTTAAAGGAAACTGGTAAACGCTTGAAGGCTATACCTATATCAGCGGAGATGGAGTCGTACATAGTAAAGGGACTAGCTTATTAAAAGCGTGTTTACTTTTGATGACGCCCACTTTATGATTTCACGGAAATATGCAAGCAAATTGTTTCATGCTGTACTAACAGTGAACGACGAAACATAGTGATTGATTTGAGTTCGTGAAATGTAGTTTATAAAGGACCATGTCGAAAATTTAGTGGCCGATGATAGAAAGACAATAAAGGGATTAAGTTGTAACACTAACACACATTGTCAAACGTAATCAAGAGATATATAGATATATAGTTATGAAAACATACTGGATGGTGTGTTTTCATAACTGATTAGATTTATTCTACCCAAATTAGGGTCTGCAACGAACATTTTCACGCACCTTTTTCTAATATTAATGCAATTAATTATTTAATTCCATGAACAATAAACTCTATCTGAAGAAGATATATAGTTCTAGTTTTAGTTATTAAAATGCGAATGGATTACTTGCAAATTGCTAAAGCTCTGTATTGAGTCACATTAACCATAGATCACTAACCTTATTTTTCGAAGCTTAATACTAACCTTCGTGGTTTCAGCTACGGTTTTTAATCAAGGGGGTTACTTTACTATGCAACTATTTAGTTATATGGTAGGTTAGTTGTAATAGTTATAATATAATGCAAACTCTCATGTTTAAACCATTAAATTGCCTAAGTGATACATCTTGCTCTCTCCGAATTTATGATTTGTTTTGCACTATGCCCTATAAACAGGGTCCATAAAGAACTATTTTACTAATTACCCTAACACCTTTTGTTACTTAATGGATGTGCAATAAATAAATAAATAAATGAATAAATGAATAAATAAACGGGGTAGGGAGATACAGTTAAACCTAAGTTTGACCGAATTCTCTAAATTAAATATTTTCTCAGGCGATGAGTTTATCACCATTCAATAATAATATTTCTGAGACGAAATTAGTTTATTAATTTAATTTCGTCTCAGAAATATATAATATTTTTATTAAAGCGACGCCCTCATTTACGAGAATTGCTTGCAGAATATTATTCTGCAAAGTTTTCATTGTCTATTAGCAATTAGGTAACGTATTGATCAAAACCGTAACAGGGGCGTATCATGCATAAACCAATCCGCTTCGACGTCATTCCGCCTGTGTACTGAGTATCGGATTACGAAGTTAATTTATACACCATAGCTAATTGACCCTTTGTGGATATTCCGCCCTTAGCCTGGGATCGAATACAAGTTGAGTTAACAATAGGCCCGGGGTTGCCATTCTGAGTGTCAAACCAGGACATTTTGCCAAATAATGAAATATTCATACGTACCAATGATTACAAACAGAGTTCGTAATGACAAACGTTATATGAAAGTTTGCTTGGCTCGCGACACCCAAAGTGTTTGTGACTTTGAACGTCGTGCCTTAAATCAAGAGAATTAAATAATATTTTCATCACAATAATTATTTTAACGATAAACAAAAACTTCCATCCCTAATTAAATATTTTTAATAACACAATAAAATCTGTGATTTTTACAGAATAAAAAAAAAACAATCCCAAAAGAGGTGTAGTACAACTACTAGTGTTATGGATGCAGGTGGTGAAGGATCGTGCTTCGTGGCGTTCTGTGGAGGAGGCCTATGTTTAGTAGAGGACTCGAACATCATGTGATGATGATGATGAACTTCACTTCGAATGGATTTATAAATGGGCGGGAACAGATGACGATTCGACATTGTCTCTTCAAAAATACATTCTGGGTCATTCTGTTCGCCTTTGAACAAACGATGCATGCCATCAGGGGCAATCGCTTTCCATTATTTCAAATGAATCGCTATTGTTTCGGCGGCTAAATTAAAGCCGTGACGGGCTGATTAAATGGAAAACATATAATCAACAACGGCCCACCTCCATTTCCGCGGAATCCATACCTCGATTGGATTCCGTCGACAGACCAGCGGTTATTGAGTTAATGATGTGTCAGGGTCTCACGGTCGAGCGAGATTTTAATTTAGCAGAATGCACGGGCGGACCTCGTTCCAACGATATCTATGTAACGATATCATAAGCGTAATTTTCTGTTTGTTACTATATCTCGTATAGACCAATTATAAACGTATAAGTTTATCGAAAGTATTTTTTTTTAAATGTGAAAAGTTGCCAAGCGAGCAGACGGTTCACCTGATGTTAAGTGAACACCGCCATCCATGGACATCGGACGCCCGAGGGTTCCAGATGCGTTGATAACCTAAATTGGTTTTAATCTAGTTTGGTAAATGAAGTTATAGTTTGGGTAACTCATTTGACGGGGTATATCTTTAGTCGGACTCATCGTTAGACTTTAGGGCCGCGTTAGGTGACTTGATTCTTATTCGTCTCAAATGAATTTTTATGTGGATCAGAGTGTGTATCCTTGTCTAATTTGTGTTTTTCCTGATATAAATCCTCCTTGGGAATAAATACCCAAATCCGGAACAATTATTTGTGGATTACTTGATCCCCAAGTCGAGGCCAAGATCTCATCAAGTCCATAAAAGTATACAGAGAAAAGTAAACACATACAGTTTTAAATAAATGTAAACGTTCAATGAAGCAGATGAAGCATTCAATTGTATTTTTTTTGTAGATAAATTGAACCAAAACTTTCGGTGTTGCGGGATCCGAGATACTTTTCCTAAAATCATGTTTTCAAAGGAATTTCTCAAAACCTTTACGGCTCTTAAGCACATCTATATATATATGGGATAAATAGTTTTTGTTAAACCTTTATAATTCAGTTGTGGCTCACTGACACCTTTTTTTCCATACCGTAATCTTATGAGTATTTTTTTATACTTTTTAAACGGTTTTTTTAATATTATCTTTATCACTATTCATATTAACCAAAACCAGATGAGGGTATTCAGTCAGATTGGATTTTTTTTAAGAACTACAAAAATTTAGTATTACATTTTATGTGTATATATTGATTTTTTTAATAAAATCTTCATCACGGTAATGCTTGTAATATGGAGTTGGTATAAATTTTGCATCAATTAAGGGTTACGAAAATTGCGTAGGCCTTAATACCGTCCACTTAACAAAATAATACGACCAAACCCTTTAAAACTTTTTAAATATTAATTACCTGATGTTTGAAGCGATATTTAAAAAGTTTTTATTCCAAAAATTATTCCTAATTTTTAAACTTAGCTAACGTGAGTAAATTGCTTATGTAGGTTATGACTTCACTGTTATTGTTATGATTTATATTATGATTATTAATACTTTGATAATATCATTTCTTTGTAACATATCTATGTTCTTAGTATATATAAAAGAAATTTATTTATACAAAGAACATATTAAAATGATGTCGTTATGGGGATTATGCTCGGCGAATAATAATACGTTATAACATTAGGGAAATATATTCCTAACGAAAATTTACGGAGTTAAAGGGTGAGGAGCCCACAAAGTATCGATGTGTTATGTATTGGTGTTTGATTTATTGTACAGACTCGTTGCGGTAGTGTATGATCTCGGCCTTGAACCAGCGGCTTGCGGTAGAACATGTATCTGACTGTACGCGCTGAGGCTATTAGTGCCAAGCGTAGTCGATGACTGACTAGACGAGCTTAAAACCTATCAAGCCACTAAGTACCCTAAAAGGATTACTTATTATTACCTAAAGGAGCCTTCATCATCCTTTGAGAGGATTACATACCATTATTTTATTTAGTAAAGTTAACCGTTACCAGGCAACACATTATCATGTTAGGGCATTTCTGTACACGAAAACCGTACCGTTGACATATATCTTATCATTACTAGCTGCTGCCAGCGACTACGTCTGCGTAGAGGGGTAAAAATTTAGGGTTGCATGTATTTTTTAACGCCACATTATAGAAAAATAAAAACAAAAAAAATTGTCAAAAAATTAAAAAAAATGTTAAGGGTGAACAACCCTTATCACTTAGGGGTATGAAAAATAGATAGTAGCCGATTCTCAGACCTACTGAATATGCATATAAAATTTGGTAAAAATCAGTA